AATTTGACAAGTATAGGTAAAACGGGGAAGGTTGCACCCACCAAAGGATGGTAAATGATAATGGGATTCAAATAGAAACAATTAAAGAGCATAACCAAGATTCTAGCCGTGTACAGACAAATGAACATGTTGGAACATCCCTGGCCTCTACTCAAGTGCATGGTGCCTATGTGCAGAGGAAGTTCAGAAAGCAGTGTCTCTGATCACAGGGAGGGAGCTATCATGGATTCTAGACTGGAGTTCTTTCTCTGTGTTTGACCACCTTTTTGTAGCTGGTTGTCCCTCTCCAGGAAAGGCAACTCTGTTGAAGTGGGTGCTGTTGGAAAAAGTAGTCTCTAGCATTACTGCAACATATGCTTAATTCAGTCACATTTGTCGGGGTGGGGGGAAAATGCAGAGGTTGCAAAGTGAGAGCTTAAATCTGATGAAGTGATGCCTTCAATGCTATTCATGGTGATTGATGAAAAATTACTATATAGAGAGTTGCAAGTTCCTCATCTGGAAAGGGTACCAGTTATCTTTTAAATGCACAGAGGCTTTAAATTAGACTTCTCTTGTTGCATCTCTTACAACTTCTTCAGTTTGCTCCATACCAAGAAAAGGGGATGGTTAAGAAGCCTGGTAGTGAAATAGGGCAGGAGAAGGTCTGGCTGCAACTTTACTACATTTAAAAGTATAGACAATCTCTCATGGTAAAACCCTGAAAACCTTATCAGATCTGGTTATATTATGGTGGTATTGTATTGTGAAATTTGAGTACTGTAACGATAAACCTACTTCCCCAGATTCATAACTGATTTCTAAACTAATGTTGCCTCTTAGAAAAACTACTTTTATTGTTTATTGTTTTGTTTTTGATCAGAGCTATAAATCCAGCCTTCAAGGAAGTTCTGTCACGGATTGAGTCCCAGGAAGAATGCAGGAACTTGCCTATGATTTCTTTCTTGATCCTCCCAATGCAAAGGGTTACACGACTTCCACTGTTGATGGATGTAAGAACAACATGTTTTAAACACTGTCATAGTTGTTAAATATAAACTGTTCTGCAGTGGCTGTTACCCCTTCATTTCACTTTTCCTTGGAGTCAGGCAAACCAGTAGGATCGGCTTCTTTTCTTAAGTCGAAATGCTGATTTTTGGAGAGACAGTTGCACATCCACATGCACATCTAATTGTGCACATTGTTTTAGAAGGGTTCGGTTTGCTGTACCCCTCTGTGGGGTTTTGGACAGGCTTAGGGTTGCAGCCATTTTTACCCATGCACATTTACCCACTGATTTGGGTTTTCTTCTTATGTATTCGATGCTGTTTTCTTGTTTTATCTGTGGTATGGCTGTAATGGGAAGGAAGGAGGCTTATAAACTGATCTCGTCAGATCTTGGAAACCAAGCAGGGTCAGTACTTGGAAGAGAGACCACCAAAGAAGACTCTGAAGAGGAAGGCAATGGCAAACCACCTCTGTTTCTCATTTGCCTTTGAAAGCTAGGGTTGCCAAATCCTTTTCTTCTCGTGGCGGGGGGCTCCTGGACGGCATCCTTAGCGTGCATGCGCGCCGCATGCACATCAGCCGGATGTGACGTGATGACGCCGGGCACGCTGGGGGCGGGGCCACAGCCATTTGAGGGGAAAACTCTATGTTTTCCCCTCAAATGGCTGTGGCCCCGCCCCCAGCGTGCCCGGCGTCATCAAGTCACATCTGGCTGACGTGCACGCCGGGGTGGGGTTTCCCCAGGGGCCTGATTCTGCGGTGGCAGAAATCGGGCCTCTAAAGCAGGGGGAAATCCGCCCCCTGGGGGGAATTGGCAGCCCTATTGAAAGCCCCTTGCTGGGGTTGCCATAAGACAGCTGTTACTTGATGGCACTTCACACACGCACACCCACACGCATGGCTGTGATATTTTGCCCATCAAATGCTACTCAGCAATGATTATTACAGCTTAGAATGATTCTAACGTAAGGGTGAGCCATAGTGAGAGAGAGGATATTATTACTGATTTTTTGTGTGTCATCAAGTCACAGTTGACTTAAGGTGACCCCGTAGGGATTTCAGGGCAAGAGGTGTTCAGAGGTGGTTTGCCCTTGCTTGCTCTCATGTAGTGACTCTGGACTTCCTTGGTGGTTTCCCATCCAAATACTAACCAGGGCTGACGTTGCTTAGCTTCCAAGATCTGAAAAGAGCAGGCTAGCCTGGGCTACCCAGGTAGTATTACTGCTTCAAGCTACTAATAAGTTAGTAAGAGTCATTGAATGTTAAACGTTTTTAAATCAGTTTCCTCTAGCTTGCCAATGTTTCCAGTTTTACTGTGGTTATAATTAGAAGCATTAATTCTCTTTTATATACTCTGGAGGCGTATTAATTGGAGAAATTAATGTAAAATGGTGTTAAATGTAATACATATAGGGTTGAATCTTATTGGATTTTTCTGTGAATGATAGTATTTTCTTCCCAGGGTTGGCATGTCTGGCTTGGGAAATTCCTGGAGTTTTGGGGGCGGACCCTGTGGAGGGAGGGGCTTGTGTGAGAGGGGAGGGATTTCAGCAGGTTGTAATGCTTCTAAAGCAGCCGTTTTCTCTAGCGGAACTGATCTCCATAGTCTGGAGATCCATTGTAATCACAGGAGATCTCCAGGCTCTGCCTGGAGGTTGGCAACTGTATTTCCTCTGGTGGAAGACTCTTGGATCTGCAAAAGGCTCCTTGTGCTTGAGGAAAATGCCACCTTAATCAGAACAGATCCATGGGATCCAGCCCCTATTAATTTAAGGTTAGGGTAGCCTTTCTTAATACATTTCCCCCCCCCCCCTAATAAATTACTGCAGATCAGAGTCTCTACCTTCAGTCTTTCATAGAAGCAATTACTGTCTTAAATTCGAAGGACTACAAACAGTGAAGTTTGCAGAACTGATGTTTGTTAATTCTCCTCTTTCACTTCAGCACCCTATGTCTCTACAAAGGCATTTTTAAGGGGCAGGAGACCCGTAGCAGTGGTGTGGAATATAGCATAGGAGAGTTACAATGAGAAGGGGGGGAAGGAATGATGCGGTTTCTGCTTATTCCCTCTTTCACAACCCATGCCATTCCCAGGAGGGTCTTGGGTGGGGGTATATCTAGAATTACATTAGAATTAGCAAAGTTCTATTGGCAACATCTGCTCTGTTCACAGCTGTTTGGATCCAAGGCAGTGTTTCCTCCCCTGGAATGAAAATCTGGGGGGCCAGGAAGGGTGCTATAAAAATCACACTCTGACTCCTTCCTTTTAATATATAACTAGCAGTAAAGCCCGTTGTGGAAATAAATACAACGAGATCTAGAAAGAGGCTCTGGGGGAGTGCTCTGGCTTTGGGCAAACAGTGTCATTTTGCTGTGGTGACCTCAGCAGGGTATAATGACAGAGTCCACTGTTTTCTCCAGAGGAACTGATCTCTGCTCCCTGAAGAGTAGTTGTAATTTTGAGTGATCTGTAGCCCTCACCTGGAGATTGGCAACAATTGTTACCCAGGATGAAATGGCTGGTTTGGAGGGTGGAGTCTATGGCATTCTACCTGTCTGAGGTCCCACCCCTCCGCAAACCCCACCCTCTCCAGGCTCCACCCCTCAAATCCCCAGGAATTTGCCACCCTGGAGTTGGCAACCCCATCTCCTTCCCAGCTAACCATCAACCTACCATTATCTGCCCCTTTGACTTCAGCTGACTTCCGCCCTCCCTTCTGCAGAGCAATTGTAATTTTGAGCGGTCTCCAGCCCTCACCTGGAGATTGGCAATAATGGTTCCCCATGAGGGACTGAGTGGTTTGGAGGGTGGAGTCTATGGCATTGTACCTGTCTGAGGTCCCACCCCTCCTCAAACCTCACCCTCTTCAGGCTCCATCCCTCAAATCTCCAGGAATTTCCCATCGGGAGTTGGCAACCCTATCAGGATTGGCCCCAATATGTTTTCTCCCAAAGGCCAAAGTAGGTGACTGGACCAAACTAAGTTGCCTGTGTGGAATGCAGTGAAGTCCAATCAGCTTCCATATGCAAAAGACCTTGAAGGTTCCATATGCAACTGACATTCCAACTGCCTTGCGGGGAGGGGGGTGAGTTTGAGGTGTGGAATGCAGTGAAGTCCAATCAGCTTCCATATGCAAAAGACCTTGAAGGTTCCATATGCAACTGACATTCCAACTGCCTTGCGGGGAGGGGGGTGAGTTTGAGGTGTGGAATGCAGTGAAGTCCAATCAGCTTCCATATGCAAAAGACCTTGAAGGTTCCATATGCAACTGACATTCCAACTGCCTTGCGGGGAGGGGGGTGAGTTTGAGGTGTGGAATGCAGTGAAGTCCAATCAGCTTCCATATGCAAAAGACCTTGAAGGTTCCATATGCAACTGACATTCCAACTGCCTTGCGGGGAGGGGGGTGAGTTTGAGGTGTGGAATGCAGTGAAGTCCAATCAGCTTCCATATGCAAAAGACCTTGAAGGTTCCATATGCAACTGACATTCCAACTGCCTTGCGGGGAGGGGGGTGAGTTTGAGGTGTGGAATGCAGTGAAGTCCAATCAGCTTCCATATGCAAAAGACCTTGAAGGTTCCATATGCAACTGACATTCCAACTGCCTTGCGGGGAGGGGGGTGAGTTTGAGGTGTGGAATGCAGTGAAGTCCAATCAGCTTCCATATGCAAAAGACCTTGAAGGTTCCATATGCAACTGACATTCCAACTGCCTTGCGGGGAGGGGGGTGAGTTTGAGGTGTGGAATGCAGTGAAGTCCAATCAGCTTCCATATGCAAAAGACCTTGAAGGTTCCATATGCAACTGACATTCCAACTGCCTTGCGGGGAGGGGGGTGAGTTTGAGGTGTGGAATGCAGTGAAGTCCAATCAGCTTCCATATGCAAAAGACCTTGAAACGCTGGGCGGGACTGCACAAAGCAGCCAGTCAACCCAGCCAGCGTCTTCTGACTGACAGTTCAAGCGTCCATACACTAAAGGAGTGCATTTTAGAACTTTGGCACCAACTATTCAATTATATATAAGGAGAGATGTTACTTCAAATTTGACACATTAGAAGAGGAAAAATAAGCCGAAACCTAGGGGCATGTTCCAGCTGAGTATGGATTGTGCACTGATCCTGTGTGCAGTCTTTTGCTATTGGGAAGGATTCCTGCATCTTGAATTCTCTGTTGAACCAAAAGACAAGTGTAAATCTGGTCTCTGTTGTTGTTACTGTGGTTGTCAGTAATGTAACCTTTACACACTTGAAGCATTTTACAGACTTTGCCCTTTGGACACTAAATGCTTTATATAGGTAGATTATTGTTTCCATTTAATAGAGACGCTAGACTGAAACTAGGTGTGGGTAACTCAGGACCATTCAATGAGTTTCCTCAGAAACAGACTTGGATCTCCTTTCTCCAGAACTCAGTATACCAGCTGTGTCATTTTATTAAGAAATTTTGTTTTCAGTACTGAATTTTGATTATTTCACTGGGCCAGCAATTCAGGAATCAGGGTCCTTTTAATTAAAACCAGGTTGGAAAAGTACCATTTTAGCAGAAAATGGTTTTGTAGTATTTTGGCCACTAACAAAAAAGGTATTCTACATCCCCTATCATTAGAAATATATCAGCACAGGATGTTTGTTTTGGTACTGCCTTGCTCTCATAGCTTACTTAAAGTCTTGACTTAGTGATCAGACTCTTTTTAAAAACTTTTATGGTGTTTCTAAAAAAGGAGATCCTTCAGTTGCATCCTTTGTTTCATAATAAGTTCACTAAGGCCTTCAACAATTGAAATCTTTAACATCACTATGTTCATATTTGCAATGCAGAATGTTGTATTCGTGGTTTTTTTGGTGCAACAACCAACAAAAGTGTGCATCTCTTTGTTTCAGACAATTTGCCAAAAGACACCTAAAGATTCACCAAAATATGAAGTTTGTAAGCGGGCACTAAAAGAAGTAAGCAAGGTATGTTTAGATCCTATGTTTAAAATGAGGTTATCCTTGTCCAAAATGTTCATATGGCTTTGATAGTGAGCCTGCTATGTGTATGTACTCAGAAGTAACCATCACTGAACACCATGGGTTCTTATAGCCACCAGTATTGCATAAAACAGTTATATCTAGACTTTTAATCATTATGCAAAAAAGACATGGTTCAAGAGAGCCAGTTTGATGGAGTGTTTAGAGGGCCTGGTGTGATGTGGTCCATGGGGTCGCGAAAAGTCGGACTTGACTGTGCGATTGAACAATAAAAAGAGAAACCCTGGGTTCAAACCACTGCTCAGCTCACTAGGTGATTTTGTACTAGCTGGTCTTTTTCAGTCTAACCTACCTCATATAGAACAAAGTTTGAGTCCAGTGGCACCTTTAAGTCCAGGTCCTGTGCCTGAGTCGGAATAGCCCGAGGGTAGGGACCCCACTCCCGACCTTTGAT